CATTCCGTAAATCAATAAATTGATCGTAATGCTAATTTTTTTTTTCTCTCTTTCTACGCACGTTCGTTTCTCTTCTGCGTATTTAATTTTGTGTCGTTCGATATTATTATTTAATTTTTTTTTTTTAATTTTCCTTTTTTCTTTTTCTCATTTTTATTCAATCGTGCGTACTTTTCTTTTATCCTGTTTTTCTTTCTTTTTATTTCTTTATTCCAACAAGCTTTTTTCTTCCTTCTCATTATCTTTCTCTTTTCTTCTCCCACTTTTTTCTATTACTGATTACCATTTCTTTTTTCCTTTCTCTTTCTCACTAATTTTCCTTAAACCCGCTTTCTTTCTTTGATTCTTTTATTTCTCTTTTTTTCCCCCTTTCCTTATTTTTTTTCTTTCTTTTTAATTTCATAATTTTTTTATTTTTTCTTTGTTTAATTTTATTTTTAATTTTATTTTTTCTGTCATGGGCCTTCCGGACGTAGGCGATCATGGCTCTCCACAGAATGCCTTTTCTTCATTGTTTATTAATTACCATTGTTTATTTGAAAAACATATTGTAAAGCGTTAAATAAGCCACGATTTTATTGAGAGATTTTCTTCTGCAAGACTGGTTAATATCCAAAACAAAGAACCAGGTCTACCATGCTATTTAACCCGTAGTTAGGGGAAATTTATGTATTTCCAAAATGAATGCAACAAACGCAGACTTTGATATCGTCTTATCGATTCCATCTTTCACGCACTTATAGCCGATACTCTACCCTCACATCTTCTTCGCTAATTATTCTTTTATTAAAGAAATTATTAAATTTTATTAAAGGATTTATTGCAGATATTCAGAAAACAAGTATGTTTTTGGGACTTAAACTCACACTGTTTTACCAGAGAGAAGTTTGCTATATCATGTAGCAACTTTATGAATTGATGGTTTATTGAAAAAGTTTGTGGAATGGATTCAAATTCATTTCGCCACTTTTCTGAATTTAAGGTTTTCTTTCTCCTACATCGGCTACAACTCAAGGCAAAGAGTCACGTCTATTCTACTATTTAACCCATAACTGAGAGTGATAAGATGGATTTATGCGTTTTCAAAGGGCATATATTCGAAAGTGAACGCAAAAGATTAACCTGGAATTTGGACTCGACTCACCGATGTCACTTTCCAAGTTGATAACCATTTATTTATAAATCAATCGATAATTTGTTTTATTCGTTCATTTAAACATTGATACTGATCAACGTAAGTAACTTCTTCACTTGGAATAGAAACTGAACCCAAGCAATATGCACACTTGGCTGGATTCATAGAGTATCCAATGAGGATTGACGTTATACTGTGAGTTATTCATACTATTGTTCTGCTCTAGATTATTATAGATGTTGTTATAGGCACAATGTTTCGGACGTGAACCTTCTGAACATTTTCAGACGCAAATTATTTTGGCTAATAAGGGATTATCTCTTAATTATTGAGTTATTTTGTCCCATCAAATTGTTGGTTTTTCCTGCTGATACAATGTGTACTGTTTCACCGCCTGCTCTAAGGATTGAACTTACGGCTACTAGAAGACAATGATATATGTTTCAGTGTTTATTACTTTATTTTTTCTTTTTAGCCTCCAAATCCAATGTAAGTTTTATGCTGTCATATATTTTATTACCTCGTTCACCTATGTAGTCAGGTGTACAAGGAAATAAAACTTATTTTTTGTGAACTGTAGAAGTCCTTAAATTTCCTCACCTTTTTACTTTGGGTATTATAACAGGTTACTCGCCCCCACCTAAAAAAAAAAAAAAAAAAAAAAACTGCTGGTGAGTTCTTTATTAGGCCAATTAAAGAGTGACACATCAAGGGAAATAACTCATGTAAGTCGGTTAAACTTGCAACATTAACCCATTAACTGCCGAATTTTTTAATACGCATTTTTGGCCCAGACAGGTGTCTTAGAAGTTTATTTATTCCTTATGTCTAATTTCAGTTGTTACCATTGTCATTTTTATAGAAACTACAACATCAAATATATATGTATATAAAACATCAAAAATGATATTGTTTAGAAATAATAAAAAATTACTTTTCACAATAGTCATTATTTTTCTACTCGTGAAATGGAAAATTACGACAGAAAGTGTCTTCTTAAAGCTAATAATAAAAACTTTAAAGGCTAAGTGTTGTAAAATATACCCCTGCAAATGCAATGTAAGTAAGCAATTCAATGTAAATACAAGGAATGACATGTAGAGTGTTTGATTTTAACAGATCCCCAAATGGGGCTCATAGCAGGTAATGAGTTAATTCGATAATTTTATTTACGCAGCGAAGGTAATCACAGTGACATGTGCTGACTCTACCTAACTTAAATTTAGTCAAACCTAAGTTCATAATTTTTATATTCGAACGCACGCACACAAATGTTCAGATAAGCGTTCCATTTTTAAGTTCCACCATCTGAAAACTTTACAGCTTGATTCGTCAGGCTATTTCCATGGCGTAAAATTACTCTTATTTCTTTAGTGTTTTAAAGAGACTAAAAAGCTAATTTCAAACAGATGTCACCTTGTTGGAACAGACAACCGCGTAACGGCTTCTATGAATACTACAATCTTAACGTCTTTAAGTCAAGAGCCAAGTGTCCTTTCCAACTTTATAATACACACCTCTTTCATCCTTTCTATTTTAGTCGTTCTCCATGCTTGTAGTGGGAAACATTTAGTCTTACTTCAGTGTTTATTACATATATTCGCTTCACGAGAAATTCCAAAGGGATTTGTTGTTTAATTTCTAAATTAAAATGTCTACAATTAGGAGAATTATAAAAGAGGCAGTAGATAGCGGCTCTGATTGAAGAATTGGAGAGCCGAGTTCGAATTCCAATCGAATCCATTACATTCACTTACGTGCTAATACCCTTGGGAAAGATATGAATCCTCTTCTTCTCCACTCCACCACCAGCTATGGGTAAGTAGCAGAACAGACAGGTTCTATAGCCTTGGATAGCAACTGGTCTACCGCAGAAATAAATGGCAACCTACTATGGGGAAAAAAACTGTCTCTTCAGGCATGATCGCTTAAGGGTGTGTCACGTATGGCACATAACTGCATGATAATTAGGCACCTTGGCGTGGTGTAATGGTTAGCAAGCTTGTCTCGCTAAAACAGTTACAATCGGATAGTGAGTTCGATCCTCTCTGTGTGCCCTATACTTTCGGCCTTGTGCCACATCTAAGGTACGCTTAGAAAATCAGCATAACTCACTGACAATTAGAAGTTAAAATTTACGCTTATTACGTTACATTCACTTATGTACAAAGATCTTTGGAAAAGTGTATGAATCAGTCTATGGGTTAAATAGTAGGACTTGTATCTAAAAAAAATTATTGTTATCTCCAAAAGAATCGTTAATCCATCATTCACTCGCAAAAATAAAAGATATAATCCAAAATCTATTTCATATAATTCAAAATCTATTTCAGCTTTAAATAACTCAATCAATAAATTAATTACCTAGGATCAATACAAATAAAATTTGTCACTTCCCTGATCGAGGTTATATTCAGCACCTTGAGTTTTGTAAATTAACTTTTTTATAATTGATCAATGCACTCGTCAGGAGATTTCAATCTATTCATCTCTTTCTCTCTGTCTCTCTCGCTTATACACACACACACACACACACACACACACACACATATATATATATATATATATATATATATATATACGTATGTATGTGTGTATATATATATAAGTGTGTGTATGCGCGTATGAATGTAGAAAGAGAAAGAGAGAAATAAAGAAATAACGCAAGACAGTGTAGACAAAGGAATCAACACTGCATGTAGATTGTCATTTTCAAGCTTTAAGCGATCTACATTCCATGGTCTATATCTTTATATTCCTCCAATAAGTTAAAAATATTATTATATTGAACTCTCCCGTAGTTTTCGACGTTAGTGGGTCAAGCAGCTGAGTTCTTAGAAGCAACAGAGCCCCGCACATATCATGTGATTATAGTGCTGAAGGCTTGTGCAGAATCAAACATAGTTTTTGGAAGAATGGAATACAGAGAACTCATGCACAGTATGGCACAAGGTGGCCAAAAAAAACCTCCGCAGGTTTTGAATTCAGAGTTGTCCTTGTAGACCGTTCGTCACCCAAGGCTATAGGATCCAATCTATCCATAACTTGGTGGGAGGGGGTTGGGAGAAGAGATGGATTCATACCTTTTCCAAGTGAATGTAATAAATTCGACTGGAATTCGAACTTATCTCCGATTCCTCAATCCGAGTCGCAATCCATTGCTCCACCGTACGACACACACACACGCACACACACGCACACACACGCACATATATATATATATATATATATATATATATACACAATTAAATAATCGACTAACTCAATAAATAACATGTGAAATACCAGAAATTAAAGAGTTGAGAAATCGTATAATTTGAGAAAAACAAGTGGTTATTCTCAAAATTAGATGATTTCACCGTATTGTGCTGTCAAAAATCACGCTACAACGTGCCGTTTTTTTTTTAACATACAAACTTACAGCAATTGGTATAATACAGAATATTATTTGCAAATAAATAATTAACGTAAACTCTTCTAAGATAACATTTAATACTTCATTATTTCTTTGGAGAAATGGTATCATTATAATATATATTATCGAGATGAGCCCAATCACAAACCCTACACTATTATTATTATTAAGTGACAAACTGAACTGAAAATTGCTATAATCTTCAAGTTAGAGTAATTTAACGGTATAATTATTAGAAATCGTAGATTCTAGCTTGGCTTGGCGATAGAAATTGATGTTTGTCGGAAATATATAAATATCTATTTTTTTATATTTTTGTTATCGATTCCGTTCAATTCGAAAAAAAACTATTTGTAAAAGATTTTGTGTAGCGCATGTGATTATACAACACTTTAATTTGAGATCGGTCAAGGTTACTTGAAACGTGAACATCGTTGTACACCTTCCAATATGTTTACTCGTTTGCACTTTCTCCGAAAGACACATTTATACTCAACGAATAATTTGACGAGTGTAAGTAGTTGATTCGTTTCACCATTTAAATCGATTCGTTATTTCATTTCCCCTTCCACCTCAAAGCACATTGAACGCCATGTTTATCCCAGCGACGTTCGTCTTATTCGTCCGTCCTCGAATGCCATCTGCTCTTTCGTTCTTATACGACAGACACACAACTTCCTACATATATATCCGCCTGTATTCAAGGCTTTTACCTATTTCTGTGCGTAACTGCGTCTTTACAGGGAACAATTCCATTAGCCATCGAGTGCAGTTCAACCGGTTACATTTATATATATACATATATATATGTGTGTGTGTGTGTGTGTGTGTGTGTGTGTGTGTGTGTGTGTGTGTGTGTGTGTATGATAAAAATATTGTTTTAAAGCATGCTATATTTACGGATAAATGTGCTCAATTTCAGGGATAGAGCGTATGTAAATATAAAAGTGGACACTAAGATAAACACAGAAAGGCAACAGCTTGTTTCATGTTTGTGCGCAGTCCTCAGGCCTGAAGATTGCGCATTAGCACCCTATATATATATATTATAAAAATAACATTTTATACGATTCTAACAATAAATTGAGCCGCCATATTGGATTATGGTTAATATTAGAAAGTAAGTTTTGTATTAGCAAATATAACAATGCTATTAAATAACTATTGGTGTTTCTAGGGCATGGAAAAATAGAGCGAATAACATGCAGACCACTGACGTAGGTGAAGCCATTTGGACACCGAACACTGAACAAATAATCTAAAGTGTAATATACATTAATTAGCCATAATAATTAGTAATTAATTAACAAGCAGATAATCATCTGGCAATATTCGACAACAGACTGTCGTTGACGTATGTGAATGTTGACCTCGATTCAAAAATTTGCATCAGTTGAATCAATGAAGATGCAGTTTAAGATCTTAGCGCAAATGTTCTTTGCTTTCACTTGTCTCCTTGCAGCATTTGTGAAATAACTTATTAAAATGTATGTCGTCGTGCCTTTTGAACGTTCATAATTTCTCTCTAAAGAAGATTTAAAAGATTATTAAAAATCGTTGTCTTATCGTCAAATATTTTATTGCGGCTGGCACGCTAAAATGTCAATCCTTTGAGGCCTAAGTTCCTGAACAATTTTAACCTTTCTACCTAAGCTCCTGAGTCAAAATTCGCAAACAAATGATATGTAATGTTTCACGGCAGATACAAAAATAGTTATAAACGTTTAACCACCGTTCAACCGGTGATTGGGCATTACGTCATTTTTTTCTACCAGCGTTTAACCGGTGGCTGGTCATTACGTCAATTTTCTCTACCACCGTTCAACCGGTGACAGGATGTTACGTCATTTTTCACTACCACCGTTCAACCGGTGGTTGGACATTAAGTCATTTTCTCTACCACCGTTCATCCGGTGGTCAGAGCTCAAAGGGTTAAGAAATGCCTTCGGATATTTTCTGTCAATGCCCCACTAAATAATAATTCACTCTAAAATAAAAGAAATTTATATTTACTAAAATCCACACCAAATTCTCCCAGAGCAAGGCCCTTACATTACATTCCAGTTGGGTTGACTCTTACGAACGCACCGAATGTGGGCGACTCGGGTGCGCTATTTCAAAGTGTGGGGTCTGGATACGCACTCATCCCGATAAACAAGCCAAAAGCAGATTTAAATTTTTTCTTTTTTAAATTGTAAACAATTCCTTGTAGTTACTTCGAATATCACAAACACTTACGAAATGTTAATTACTCCTTGATGTTTGGTAATTTTTCATTCTTACGTTTGGTTGCGAGGCAAGCTAAACAAATTTTGATTTAAAATTTTATTTTCAAAATTGCGCCAAAAATTAAATAAAAAACAAACTTTAATTTAGAATTTATAATCTTTTGGGGTGAATTAATATTTGCAATCAGTAACTTTACATTATTTGGGGTGAATTAACAAAAAAGATCCATGCCTTCTCTTCGTGCCATTATATAATTTATTTAAAAAAATGTAAAGGGCAATTAAAACGTATTTGCCTATATGTGATCATGTATTTTAAAAAATGTATTCCTATAGTCTCATGAAAGCATTTCATGAATATGCATTTGGTAACATTATATTGCCAAAATTTAAATTCTCTGCTGAGAAAGTATAACAATAAATGATCTTATTTACACTATTTATACTCGGACTATTGTCCTCATCTTTGTTGTTGTTATCACAATGTTTCGGCCTTTGTACACTCCGGCCTTCCTCAGGTGTATACTGACCTGGGTAACCTACAGGTTACCCAAATAGTCATCAGCCCCTGTGGATTGAAGTAAAAATACTGGTCAATGAAGAACCCTGGGGAGTTAGACATCTGAAACGCTATGAGGATCTCCTTAGTAGGCCTAGCATAGAAATAAATACAATATGGGAGCCGCTAATAAAAAAAAGCAAAAAAAAAGCAATACATATGACAGCAAGGCTTTAAGAGCAGCAGCAGCAGCAGCAGTCAAAACATGACAACCAGCAGCAGTAGCAGGATTAATCAGCAGCGGTTTCGGTTAAGGCTCCAAGTATATTAAAGCAATTCCCCGGGGGTGGGTACCAATCAATCTACACCTGGGTATCAATCTACACCTGAGAAATGCAGAAACGTTGCTGTAAAAACAAAGACGAGGACAATAGTCCGAATGTTAATACTAACTCTTCATGTCATAAATTCAGACAGGGTATAGTATCATTATTGAAGTAGCATAATTTATTATATTTATTAATTGTCTTCACTTGTAATTTTTTACTTCTTTGCTATGTATCAGATGTTTAGACTGCGGTACAATCTAAGAGACTTGGGTGACACTTTTCATAGATACACCTCTGAAAATAACTTCATTTTATTACAAGATTTCTATAAAATATATTAAAATACTTTGCTTTACACAAACAAAGAAGAGTTTCTAACTTCATGTATTAGATTTTTAAAATCTTTTTTATTTTTTCATGTTCTATCTGCCTTCAGGGCATGGGCGGTCATGGTTCTCCATAACTTCTTGTCCTTTGTAGCTCTAAGTAATGTTTATCTTCTTTGCTATCTATCCTAATCCCTGTTCTGCCAATCATTAATACAAACTCGTTAGGCAGGGGTTATCGCTGCATACCTCTAGCCTTCGTGATGTCATGTAAGTGTTAAATTCTCCAAGCCCTATTTCCTCATTATGTAACCAAGGAATGTCAAATATTTCTTTCTGATTCGAAGTATTTGTCCTTTTGTTTTCCATTTTCTCAAAAACTTCATTTTTGCTCACGTGTTTTGTCCATGGTATCCTCAGTATCCTTCTGTAGAACCATATTTCTGTTGCTTCAAGTCTCTTCATTATTTGAGAACATTGTACATCATTCACTGCCATATAAGAGGATTGATATTACGTCGAAGTTCAGCACTCTTTGTTTTGTTTCTAACAAAATTTTCCTGTTCCTTATTTTGCTTAACTTTTGAAAGGCATCTTTGGCTATCCCAATGCACCTTTGCATTTCGGTGTCACATTTTCCGCCCCCTGTTAAAATATTTCCGAGATAATTTAATTTTTGTATTCGTTTGATTTTGATCTGTCCAATTTGTAGTTTATAACGTAGGATCTTCCTTTTGCTGACACCCTTACATTCTATCTTCTTACGATTTTGATGCTTAGTCCTTTCTTCTCGCTTCCCTTTACTTCCTTCTGTGGAAACCTCCTTTAAAATGTTTCCTCAAATCTATTCATGATAAGGTTACACCGCATCTATCACCATATTGGAAGTATTGACTTAAAAATATGAAACCCGACAAAAGTCTAATTTTACAATAAAAAATAGAAGCTATATCCTGCTTCTACTGTGTCTGACTTTAACTGATAGGTCTTGTTATATCGAGAGATGAACATTTTTATAGGTAAATTAGTGTCGGACTTTATTTCGTTTTTGTAATTTTTTTCCTCCCAATTATTTTGGGAGTATTAATTTGATTGTCCGCGAGCAATTTCGTATGTGAATATTGAAGCCAACGCTAAACTTTCTACAATACGAAGTAAATATTTGGGTAAATTGTCCATAACTTTTTAGAATTCCAATTAATATTTCCAAATTTTATTCGGTCATTTGAATTCCTTTTTTGTACTTGATGTTATTATGATGATGTTTCAGTCGATATTCATAGACTTCATCAGGTGCATAATCCGGTAATGTGTATAATCCGGAAGTAAATATTTGAAATTTACCTTTGCGCAAGAATTAACGGAACATATTAAGAAAACGTTTGCTAAATCCATCGCCAAAGACGCTGGTCCGTTTCTTGTATCGCCCCAGAAACTACCAGACACTGTTCTGCTCTATTTTTACAAGAGTCAGATAATACCAAAAATGTAGTATTGCAGTCATATCTGGGCTGGAGCTATACAATCCTTACTTTCAGGCCATAACAGAGTTCAAAAGCGATAAATCATTTTCAACCCTATAACCTCTTTCTCACCGGCAAAACGTCGCTAGTCCCTCTCTATATATATCGCCATGGCAAATGTTTAGTCGAGATACATTCCTTAGCTTCACCAGTTCAGACCTTCACGGCTAAGTCCCACCAGGCCACGTACACAGTGTCGACTCAGTTTCATTCCCTTCGTATACCATTAGTAATACAGTCTTTTAAACAAGGGTAGAGGTTTATCTTAGTTTCTTGTTTAGGGTTGGGTTTCCGCATCATTCTAAAGATTTCTCATTCTCTTTTATTACCAGTTGTGCCTTGTATCTTAGTGGCATTATCGCCTTGCTTTGAGTAAATTGATGAAAAAGAAGGAAATTCCAATTAGAAAGCTTCTTCCCTATTTTGTGAAACCCGAGAGGATGTTTCCCTGAGCACTACAGTTTTAATCCAAGGCCCAACCGTTATCTATCCTTCATATCATCACAATCTTCACTTATTTTCTCCTCTTACGTCTCTGCAACATCGCCACTAAGTAACACACTACACTGAGTGTCTCTTAGGCCTTGTATTGAGTGAACCTTTCGTAAAACTATAAAAACAAATACAGCACAGGTTGATCAGTATTCCTGTGAAAATCTAAAGTTGACTCCAAAACCTAGTGGTTAAGAGACCGCCGAGTATAGAATGAATCTCCCCCACTCCACATTTAAGCAGTCTTGTGAATTAAGGACATTTTCTATATTTCAGCCTCGTTCCCACATACTCAATGTTGATAGTCCATCGCTATTACCATGGCAATTGTTTAGATGAGCTCCATTCTTTAATTCCACCAGTTCAGATTTTTACATCGCAAAGACATCAAGCTACTTCCCTGGAACCGATTCACCCTCATTTCCTCCATGTTCCAGATGTAAGACTGCTTTTTTCAAAGAACTGCTGCTTTGTAGATCAAATGCCCACGTGAGTGTCTCCATGAATACTAAATCCTTGACCTTTACAAGTTATGGGTTAATCGTTATCTATCCACCTTATCCTCATAAATTTTCCATCCTACCATATCCTCTTTCATTCATATCATGCTCCTCATTCATCATTGCCATTTTAACAGTTGCCCTCTACCTTGAGTAGCTCTTGGGCCTTGTATTGGTGGCATTTTTGTATTAAAAAACAAGAACATAGCAATACTTAACGACGTGTAAAAGAAGTATCAAGAGAATTTGCTTGGACTTTAGTTTCAGCATCCCCACCCAGGCAAATTAAAATTTAAAAAATGTCTGAAAGAAAAAAAAATACCTTCTCATTTGGTGTATAGGCGGGTGACATTACGGTCATCGGCACAAAAAATGGAAGCGGTGTGGGCAGTTCAAATCCTGACCTGCTCTGTTACGTTCATTTCGCACTCAATTCCTTCTAAAAGACTAAGATCCATTTTCTTTCAATTATAGATTGAATAGCAGCCAAACCTAGTGATGTTTTCATTTTTGCAAAACAAAACGAGCCATTTACAAACACTAACACTATTTTTTTTGCAAGAGTCAAGAAAGAATAGGTGACAGAATTCTAAAACAGTTTAGCAGATGTTTAAAACAGTTAGGCAGTGAAAATATCGGACTTGTGGAGTTACCCCACTTACTATCCTTTAAAAACGCTGCTAGGGGACGCTCCCTATGCTTATGAATAGGAAATGACATTATGTAATCTATTTTTTTTCCTTTTTCACACAGGGACGGCGGTAAGATAACTGTTGAATGAGGAAAACTCTTTCCCCTGGGGAACGCACACACGCACATAGGCACGTAGGCACTTTTCACTTCATTTTCTCTAGGGCTTTCTCCTTCACCAAACTAAGAACACACAAAAAATTCACTAGTTTAAATATTGTCTTCATTCGTATTAATTGTCTTGTCACACGCAACAATCTTCAATTGTCTATGTATACCTTTGTTTTGGTTAATACATACACTATCAAATTTATATATATATATAAGCAATCGTCAAGCCATCAGTTGCGTTTAGCCTGAAACAGTCTGTCGACTCTGAGTGTCGATTTCAATGATAACTTTTATATTTATATTTGCATATGTTCTATCTCTGATATTTAGCACTTTATCCCATAAATATAGCACACCTTGAAACTATATTTCTTGAAACTATATTTTTATATATATATATATATATATATATATATATATATATATATATCAGGGTGGTCTGATGATCGCGTTTAGCATGAAACATTCTGCTGCCACTGAGTGTTGACTTCAATATTCATTTTTATATTTACACACGCTCTATCTCTGATATTGAGCACTTCATCCCATAAATATAGCACACCTTAAAACAATATTTCTTCACACACACACACTCATAAATATATGCGTGTGTGTGTGTGTGCGCGCATGTGTGTGAATATTGCATATATATATATATATATATATATAGAGAGAGAGAGAGAGAGAGAGAGAGAGAGAGAGAGTTTTGTTGTTACTTTGTTCATTTATTACCCGAACTCACATTCCGTGTCTGCCATTTTTGTTGTGGGATAAATCTACCAGGAGGCACGTGGTTTCCACCTAAACACTCGACCAACATTACGCCCTCAACAGACTGAATCTACTCTCGAATGGATCCGTATGACAAAATTAATAGCTATTCTTCGGTGGCAGAACCCGTTTATCATCGAATCACGTAAATAGGTTTTCGAGAACAGCTGGCAAAAGTCTCGTGCTGCTGTTGGCGCTCTCGAAGCAAATGTGCAGAATACACGCTCTATTACGCTATTTAGCAAATTTATCGAGGATACCATTCGATTCTCATCAAGTTTGCCTTTTATCAAAGAAAGCTAGATATAGTTCAAGTGTCTTCTGAACGCTTGATATATCGTTAGAAAATTAGTTTCGATGACTACTCCAGTCATTAGATATTCTTTTAGTGTTGGCCTTGTACATATTTAAAGGTATGTTGTGGTGTAATGTATATCGGCTCAGAATGAGAATTCGGAGAGCCGAGTTCGGATTCCAGTCAGGTCGGTTAGATTTAAATACGCGCAAAATAGCCTTGGGAAAAGTAGGAATCGACCTCTTCTCCTGTTGGCTGGAGGTTGAATAGCAGGGAAGTTTGAGTTCTGTAACCTTGGTTGGCAACCAGTCTACCACAGAAAAAATGGTAACCTACTTCGGGAAAATCTTCTGCCTAGTCAGTCATGGATTGAAAGAGATTATCGTCCAAGCATGTATCACGTATGGCACTTAACTGACTGAATTACCCTTCAATTATTGTAATTTGGCTCTTCTCTTGACTAAAATCTAAAAACCTTGAATCTTGCAAGGCAGTCCATCTTGGGCGTCAGGCTCGCACACGAACCATGTCAAACTCCCAAATTGATGCAAACAATGATGTGGCCGCCATGCATCTACCAAGAAATCTAGACAAAAATCATTACCTTATATATTTTACGAAACAGGAAAGCGGTCTGTGTTTGTTTTAATAATGAACATTAGCTCAGTGTGTTGTGGTTTAATGGATATCGTCTTGAAATGAGAAATCGAGGTGCCGAGTTCGAATTCCAGTCGGGTTGGTTACATTCACTTACGTGCAAATACCATTAAGAAAGGTATGAATCAATCTATTCTCCCCAACCTATGGGTTAAATATCAGGACCGATTGGGATGTATAGCCTTGGTTAGCCAGTCTACCACAGAAAGAAAGGACAACCTACTGCGGGAAATTCTTCTGCCTAGTCAGTCATCTAACCAAAGAGATAAGATCGCCCAAGCGTGTATTACGCATAACCCTTAACTGACTATCATCATAATTTTTTATTTTTTTTATAATTTTTTAGGGGTGTATGTGTGAAGAAATATTGTGTGTGTATATATATATATATATATATATATATATATATATATATATATATATATTTGTTGTTACTTTGTTCATTTATTACCAGAACTCACATTCCGAGTCCGCCATTTTTGTTGTGGAATAAATATACCAGGGGACACGGGTAGGGGTTTTTATATTTCACTTTTATTTCATCGCTTTTGAATGTCTCTTTCTTCTCTCTCTCTCTCTCTCTCTCTCTCTCTCTCATTCTTCACTTACCCTCATCTTTACTCCTCCTACTCTCTCTAGACTGACTTCCACTTTTATTTCATTAGCTCTCTTTCCTCTCTCTCACTTACCCCATCCTATTCTCCTTCACATGCTTCCTCCTCTTACCTAATCTACATTTACGTCTACTTTCATTTTTCTTCCCTCTCCCCCACACTTCTTTTCCTTTTATTCTTCCTTCTCTTTTTTTTCTGACTCTTCACTTACTCTCCTCTTCGTCTTCTCACTCATCTTTACACCCCCTCTATTCTCTCTCAACCTTTTTTCTATTTCCTCTAATTCTCTCCCCTTCACATGTGTTTCCATTTTTCTCTTCGTTCTTTCCCTCTTCCTTTCTCATCCTTTTTTTCTCGTTCACCCCGTTCTATTCCTCTCACATTTTCCCCTCTCTCTTATTTTTCTTTCTTCTGCTCCTCTTTTCCTTCTTCTTACCATTTCATTCTTTCTTCATCTCTCCTAGCCTTCATTTTCCTCTCTTTTCTTTTTTCTTTCTTTTTCCTTTTCTGTCTTGTTCTTTGCTTTTCTTTTTTTCTTGATGTGTTTTCTTTTTTCTTCTGCTTGTTTCTTTTTTCCTTTACTTTTTTTCTTTCTTATTCTGTTTCTCTTTCTTTCATTTTACTTCTTCCTTTTCCTTTTCTTTTCTCACTTTTTCGGCTGTATTTTTTTTTGTTTTCTTTATTGTCATTTTTTCCTTTTCTTCTTCTTAATCCATTTTCCTTTCATTCACGTTTCTTTTCTTTTTCTCTTTTTTCTTTTCCTTTTATTTATTCTTTCTTATTTTTTCTTTACTTTTTTCTTCATTGTTCTTTTTCTTCTTCTAAATAATTCTTCTTTTCGTTCTTGTTCCTTTTCTTTTTCTCTTTTCTTTCTTACCCTTTTCCTTTTCTCATGTTTTATACTCCTTTACCTCTACCATTCTCATAGCACTCTCCCCCTCTTTCTTTTTTTCTCCTCTTTTTTTTCTTTTCATCTTTCTCTCTCCTTACACTTCCTCCTTTTTTCAATTTCAATCTTTCTCATTCCCCGACTTCATCTTCTTTGTAAGACTCTCATTCTCCCTCTGCTCTCTCTCTCTCTCAAACTCTTCTCTCTTTCTTCTCATTTTCTAATTCCACCTCGTTCTCTTTCTCTCCCCCACTCTCTCTAATTTCTCGCCCGTTTTCCTGCTCTCACTTTCTTAGACCATTTCTTTTCCTTGTTTTTCACTCTCACTTTGAGGGAAGTAATGTTGCCGTAGAAATCGCTTTTGTGAAATGAGAATCGAGTCTTACGATGATTGCATCAACAGCAGAAGTCATTTCGGACATTCGGTGTGAATTTAACGAGATTACATGGTTAGTCATTACAAATGAGTAGTAATTTCGATCTTCACAGAGTGCTCTATATTTGTGACCTTGTGCCAAACTAGTCTTCGTAAATAGGTCGCTCCGACGTGAGATAATGTTTAGCGATCTAGTCTACATGACCATTACTACTGAGTAGCTCGACTCTCAATCGTTGCTCCATAATTATGGCCTTGTACCAAACTAAAATACTGATTGCTAAAACTATTTTTATATTTTTCTCGGAGTTATTTTTAACAATTTCTCTCTCTCTCTCTCTCTCTCTCTCTCTCTCTCTCTCTCTCTGTCTGTGTGTGTGTGTGTGTGTGTGTGTATGTGTGTGTGTTTATTTTTTCGTTCTTTCTTTCTCTCTCTGACTCTGCTCTTTAATTTCTCCTCTCTCTCTCTCACTCTTATTCTCTCTCTCTCTCTTCCACACTTTGCTACTCTCTCTCTCTCTCTCTCTCTCTCTCTCTCTCTCTCTACTTCTTTTGTTCTTTTTCACTCCTTATCATACCTTCCTCATCTCTCGTCCTTCGACTCCCCATATTCTCCTCTCCCTCTCTTTTGTTTTTCCCCTCTTCTCTCTCCAAATTTACCTCTTCCTCCTCTTCTTATCCCCTTCAAAATGTTAATTAAACCTCTGTCCTCGCCTCTTTCTACCCGCATTTTTAAGATATATTTTGTTTTTATTTCTATTGGAATTTTAAGCGGAAGTAATGAACTCCGAGATCAAAGCCGCCGAACAATTTGTCACAGGATGAAAACAACAACAACAACGAAGTCAACTTCCGATATATCTTAATGGTTATGTCTAAGAATTACTAAACATGATCCCGATTACTCAAACTCCTATATAAAACAGTCTGTTCCTTTTGTTGTGGAAGGAGCAAATTTTGGTGTCAGAATTGGTTATACAAATCCTTCAGTAATATAAATACCTACGACCTCTTGTTTTAATGAAATATCAGACTGTCCAATTGAGAGTCGTTAACACGCTGTCTAAAAAAAGATCAAAACAACAATGATAACGAAAATAATTGTAATAGATTATGTCTGAACTTTAGGCAACACTTATGTGTATGAACTTTGACCGTTCTTTATTGATTCCCACTAGCGACATCAAGTCTTAAGTCACACGAAAAGAAGAAATTCAAAGGAAAAGACGAAGTGAATTCGTTCCTCAACTCGAATCACCTGAAAGTCTAAATAAACTTTGACTTGAAATGAGTGACACTTTGCCAATCGGTGATAATTTTTGGAACTGGACTCAAAGTTGGGGATCCTCTCTGCCGCAAGTCACGTGGATCTCAGTAGCACCTTCGTCTGCCCTTCTCCCCCCCCCTCTCTCTCTCTCTCTCTGTCTCTCTCTCTCTATCTCTCTCTGCTGAAGCGTACTGCTTATACTGACTTCGACTTAAGACCGGAGTAAGGGCTGACGTAGTTTGGGAATTTAGGAGTTCCCCATGTTTCTGTATCGATTTGAACAGCAGTTCTTTATTGTCTAGTTCGTAATATTAATTATCTCTCCAAATTTGGGAGATCCCTTCTTCCTACGGTTAGTGGTTGTAGGTTCTGGCCCGTCCGTTTAACTCATTCCTTCTCTTATTTATGCCTCGCACCATTACTTCCAAATAGGCGGAGGTAATTTCCCCATCTCTCTCAGTATCTCATCTAAGCCCGTTACCTCGGCTGTCTCTTTGACAAATCTGATTTTTAAAACTGATTGGGCAAATAAGAGCTCTTAACTTTTAGTCGTTAATTGTAATTATCTTAATTTTCAACAACGATTTTTTTTTCTCTGCTCCTGGTATTGTATATGCAGAGATTTACCATCTGTTTCCTTTGACCTGCTAATAGCAAGTAATTATCTTCATATCTTGTTCGCTTATGAACCTCGGAGTTTCGTTTCTCCTGTCAAAAATATTATTTCATGATTTGTTTAGATTTTCACTCTTTGACAGACAGGCATAAATCAGTTTCTTGATTCTGCCTTCGTCTTCGAACTTAACAAAATTTTATTGCGCAATTGACCCCTTCTCCCGACTGGTCATCATGAGACATGTTTTCGTTACTTTCACTTTAAGTAAGCGGGCATAAATCAGTTTTTCGATTCTGCCTTTGTCTTCAAAATTACCAAATATTATAACTCAATTGACCCCTTCTTCCGCCTGGCCATCATGAGACATGTTTTCATAACTTCTTCTTTAAGTAAGCAGACATAAATCAATTTCTCCATTTCTGCTTCATTTCCAAAATTCTCAACTGACTTTGAATGCATTATAACTATTTCTTCTCAGCTCTCATGGTCTGAAATCTTCCACATAGCCATTTGATAATATCTTTTCCCAAAACCAATAAAGTTATTCTTTTCGGTTCTGTCTTTGCTTTCTCCTTCCAGTTTATATGTTAGTACGTACGTTTGACCCTTTTTGTCTGTACTAGTTCGCATTCTAAATGTTATATAAGAATATAGTGTCGCTGACGACACTTGAGTTTGAACATAGATCGCCAGTGAGCAAACACAGGTGATCCCATTATTGAATTATGTAGACCACGTGGCCATAGAGGAAACGGTTATAAGTAGGAAGTCGCGTGGCGTCTAAATGATTGCTATTCCTAGTCTATCCTATATACTATACGGATCGCTATTCTCTATACTATTTCTCTTTTCAGATCACTCTACGGATTACTATTCGAGCGAGTATTATCGAGCAAGTACTATTAGTGCGAGTGATATTCGAAGGCGTCTGACATCAGTATTGTTCAACGACGTTCTTATAGTTGTATCTGCGATTACAAAGTCTCTACTACAACGAGCATTACGCAAGTGATAACGAGTATTCGCTGACATCACAAAAGTGTCAAATGAGTGTTCGTTGACATCACAAAACTAAATTAACTCTTTCCTTTTACCAGTATCACATAGTACTAAATATATACAATTGTCGCATCTTGTATAAATTTGTATCAATATACCTAAAATTGTAGCCTGTTATATAAATTGTAACCTCGTATAAACTTTTACTTTAAACTTGTAGGCTTTTGTATAAATTTGTAACCTCGTGTACAAAATTTTAGCTTCTTGTATATATTGGTAGCCTCTTCTTATAAATGTTTACTCGTCTGTATATAATTGTAGCCTCCTATATAAAACGGTAGCCTTTTCTATAAATGTGTAGCCTCGTTTATAAAATTTTAAGCTCCGTTATAAATTTGTAGCTTCCTGTATAAAACTGTATATATTTATAGTACCTTTAATAAAAAATGTCGTCCCTGAAATAGTACGAGAAGTTGATTTTGGTACAACAGTTCACAAGTTACCCATGACTTTTTCTTGTCCCAACTGTTTGTACTTCAATAATGCCGGTATAAAATAAGTGCTCACGAGTTAAATGTTGTCAATGGTAATTATTTGAATTTCATCAAATAACACAGGAAAGATTCAAATTAAACGTAACTAACTTCAAACACTTTCTGTCTCGTTATTTATTGTGTAGAATTACACAATTATGGCACAAGGTCGAAATGGGGAGGGATTGAGGCTGGTGGTTACTATCTTATACCTAGCTAATATGATTCACGACCCATTCACTCATTACAATTTGTCCATTCAACACAAAAACTCGTCCGTCACCAATCAATCCTCCATACACCATAATACCGCATCTTCTCAAGGGGGTCCAACAAAACGCGCCCCATAACATAAAAATATAATGATTATATATGCGTACTTATAAATTTATGGATGAATAAAATGAGATGGGAGGGAGATGAACTCTATAAGAAATTAAAATGTCAACACAAAAGAAACTAAACATAACTGATAACACGATTGGTAACAACACCTAATGAATTTCTATCAACAAATCTTTCAGGTTGAAAATATATTAAACTAATCCAACGAGAAATAAAGAACGTCACACAACTCATTAATTAATAATAGAATTTTTAAAATAAACAAATAATCAATTAAATATCCTCAAAGACCGAGTCGCTTGATTCTTTAAATCAGGCGTTCCGTTTGTGTATTCACGTTTTGATTTTCCATAATTTTCCATTTATGGAATTTGATATTCCATAAATAGTCATTGTTATTGCGATTGGAGTTCAACCCTTATCCCAAATCCCAGAAAGTCTTTAGAAACCATTGTGTCACCTAAGACTTGTAAGTATTTTCACCTGATGTGTCTTCTCACCTGATTTATTTAACGTTTACAGTGAGAGTTGAAAGTTATATCGAGGTTCATTCTTGGCGGCCACAGAAGATATGCAGATGATATTATATAGCAAAGACGGAAATTAAAGTACGGGAAAACCAACAGAAAGGAAAGCGGAAAGAAAAGACTCTTTATCAATTGTAAGAAGACAGTATGAATGGTTGTCAGCAAAAGAAAGAACTCAAGATACGAACTACGAATGGGAAACACCAGCATCAAAAAAAAAAAAAAAAAATTAAATATCTCGGAGTTTTAACGGAGGTCGGAATATGCGACACTGAAATCCGAGGACGCATTAGAACTGCGAAAGATACCTTCCAAAAGTTAAGCAATGTATTAAGAAAGAGGAAAATTTCATTAGAAACAAAGAAAAGAGTAATACTTATGTATTCTCGGTCCTTCCATATGTTAGTGAAAGCTAGACAATTTTCTCGCAGACGAAGAAGAGAGCTGAGGCAACAAAAATCTAGTTCTTTCAAAAGGGATGCTGAAACCGCAAAGGACTGAACATGTAAGCAACAACGAAGATTTAGAGAAAATAGAGACAAAAGGAAATTGGAATCAGGAGGAGAAAACTTAAAAAATTTCTTGGGTTCGTAATAAGGAAAGAGGTTTTGGAAGATTTAACACGCAAAGGACATGTCGAGGTCAAGCGGGAAAGAGAAATCAGTGAATAACTCCTGCCTAACGAATTTGTTTGGCAGAACAGGGATTAGGAGAGACAGGGGAAAAAAGCTACAAAGAACAGGAAGTTGCCGAGAAATATGATCGGCACATAGAAGAAGAGGAGGAAGAAGAAAAGAAGAAGTAGTAGTAGAAGTAGAAGAAAAAGAAGAATTTAAAAGAAAATGAGAAAAATAATAAAAGAAATAACAATTGTAAATATCGATAATTTTTTACATCATTGGGTTTTAGTAGGTTCCTCTATGGTATTTGGTTAAATGTAGGATTCGGTGAAAAGAGGTGTGTTCTTGTGCTGAATGAGTAAATTGTAATGAATGAATGGGTCACGAATCCGATTAGCCATCTGGGGGACCAGCACTACTCCACTTCCTCTTCGTCCTTGTGACAAAATTGTAAATAAAAGTATAATAAATACTCATTCTTAAAGGATTTGTTTAGAACCTTGTCAAGTGTGAAATAATGGTCACCACAACAAGAAACCCACCTTTTTTGTTCTGGGAATTTCCTTTTTATGGTAATTTCCTTATGGATTCCTTTTAGGAGATTAAGTTAGGAAGATCGGATTTGATCCCTAACTGACATTAATATGTTCAACAAAGCTTGTGATTTTTCTGTCTTATCTTTTTTGATTCATACTGAAATGCCCTTTCAGTAAAAGTTGATAAGAAATTCACTCGGAAATATTTTGCTGTATAATTTTGTTTTTTCATTTGAAAATGCCATAGCGTTTCATAGAAAATGCCATAGCGTTAATTACATGTTATTCAGCTATGAATAGCAAGACTGACTGGGTTCTATAGCCTTGGTTGTCAATCGGTCTAGGAGGAAGTAACTCTGAATTCAAAATTGTAAGTAGCTCTGGCGTAGCACATTTTCTTCCTTCTCGGCTGTCCGTCATTGCTGACGACGATGCTGTCCACTCTTCTCTGTCCGTCTTCTGTGGGCTGCTAAATGAGACAGCAGACCGATCCGCGAACGACAAATTCTCGGGTGCAGATGGCAGGGAAACATGCCCGGTGCGGAATCGGGCAGGCTGCAGATGACGCTGACGTCGACTCCCCTCGAACGCTCCTCGTCTCTCCTACTCGAAGTGCGCTACTCCGGTGACGCAGAGAGACCGCCAGCTGACCCTATCCCCTGCAAGGTTCTTCAATTGTGTTAAATCAATATTGCAGGGGACAAGATCATACTGTACATCTAAAAATCCGGAGTTGGAGCCAGTAAGGCAGTTCGTCGCTGATTTCAGCCTTGTTCTGGCGGCTCCTGCGACGGCGCTGGTGCCAAATTGTCTTGGCCCTGCTGTTCATTTGGATCCATCAGCGACGTGGAGAGTGGGGACATGCTGTATGTCCTCAGGCTTGATCCTACCTTGTAGATGCGTGGGATCAAATCCATGGTCATTGATGACCGACAGAGGCCTATATATTCACCATGAAACTTAAGACAACTGTAATGTATTTCTTTTCATGATCAGTAATTCTCACCTACACTTTGCTATTTTTGAGCTTTCTTATTCATGTTGTTTGTTTGTTCGAATGAAAAAATTGTCTCCTTCGATAATTTGATCAAGTATCTGCGATGGATGTGCGGGTGGTGTAATGGATAACGGCTCGGAATGAGAAATCGGAAAGCAGAGTTCGCATTCCAGTCGGGATCATTACAATCACTTACCCGCAAACACCACTGGCATAGGAAGCCAGCTATAATCCCCCCAGCTATTGGTTGAATATCAGGACAAACTACGTCCTATACCTTGGTTGGCAACCAGTCTATGGCTGAAGGAATGGCAAGCTACTGCGAGAAAATCTTCTGCCGAATCGAAAGTTCACCCAAGCGTGTATTACGAATGGCATTTTACTGACTGATCTGTGAAACGGAAGAACTTTGATGACCTAATTAGAGAGAAATTTGTTTAAAATTTTAAGTTTTACTTTTTTGGCTTCTAAGCCAGGGAATTTCTCCTCATTAATGTTAGACATCATCCATTTGTGTATTTAAAATAATTATTTTATTCATACTTTGTAAAATTAGGGCATTTTAATGGTCTGCTACTTGACATGATATGATTAAACTAACCCTGACTTCATGTGATTGAACCGAGCTTATTAACAAAGGATACGATATGTTTCTTTGACAAAGTTTACCTGTTAAAAAGTCTTCATTTTGTTTTTCCGCCATGCACTGATATTGGCGGAGTAGGTAATGGCTACTCCAGTTACAGCTACGCAGTAACTACTTATTTAAGACGTTACATACTGAGAAAGCATATTTTGCGAATGGATTCAAAAAGCCCAGCTAACAAAGCCATGGAGTTTTACTTTGAAAATACTGACTTGAAAAAATTCACGGGTCATCCAAGAACGACCAACGCTGAACCGAGGAATTCAAAGAACTAGGCAGAAAGGCTGGCAAAATATTGTCGAATCAGTCTACAATGTCCCTGAAGATGAGAGAACATGTTAATTCATCACCTCAGATCGAAACAGTTTTGATGATGATGATGATGATGATGATGATGATGATGATGATGATGCACTGATATTTCAAAATACACCGCTTCCTCGCTCTTATTTACACAGTATATTATAAATCGCTTCGACTGGCGGGAAAATCAGGTGGGAGACTTGTGTATTAGTCAAAACCCTCGTTAATTTCGGGTGTGTCAGTTCTGTTGCACGTGAAAACTGATTCCCGATGGAATGGGTGGGTGAGGCCTCCTATAGATTCCACGGCCTTGAAGGCGGAGTCAGCAAGTGCCCTGAGGTGTAGAAGTCCTGGTCATCCACTGCAACCTGTTACATCTCCTGATGTAACAGTTCCTCGTGACACTCTACCCATTTTCCTTCTATAAAATTTTCAGGGGGCAGTTTTGGACCCGAGAGGCAACCATGATTGCACGGCTCCCTTCGTTAATATTGCAGCATGAGTAGGAACTCTTTGCTGAAAATGCAAAAAACATTGTTTTAAAATTTTGGTTTTTGTAATTTAATTTAAATATTTTCATTATTGCTAGCTTAGGCAGTTGGCACGTGTTTCACCAGAAATTGTCGTGTTTAGTTTCAAGGGAATTCTTCGTAATTACGATTGAACTTGTCGAATTAGTTGGTTCTTTGATTTTGTTTAGCGGTATATCAACACATTTATGGGTTATTTAAAGCAGAAAGCAAAATATTTTGGACACGATTTTATGGCTTTTGAACGTAATTGTATGCCTTCAACTACTGATAAAATGTATTGCAGTTCATTTTAGTATAAATATGTACTGTTGGTAATTCTTTTCATAGAAAAATGTATTCGTTGTATTTTTACTATAAATATGTATTGTTACGCTTTCATGGCGTCTTCGTTTTGTTAGCTGGGACCCTAACAGGTGCTACCACCTCGGGTCAGGTTGGACCTGGGAAAAACCGCAATTAAGAGGTGGTTCCACGCTCCTCAAAACCTCCTGCTACGGGATGTAGTTTATCGTCATACGCAAGACTCCCAAAGATCGAACTCGCAATTACTATATCAAATTACTTTAATAAATTCACAAACAAACGCTTTGATCAACTAAGCTATTGGTATATTTTCTGTAAAACATTCCTGAATATAGAACTTGATGGCTTAGACTTAATGTTCATATTTCTTGCCGACATGATTGCTGTCATGCTTGACATCTTTTCTTACTGCTGCTGCTACCGTTGAGCTTTGCTGTCTTTTCTCTTTCTTTCTTTATTAATGGCTCGCATATAGCAGAGAATCTATGCTATTGTGCCGGAATAGCAACTGTACTCAATTTCACACCAAACCAAGGAAACCATGTGCAGGGTCGACTCGAGGTTGTTCCTGTTCGCCGAATGGAGGAGCACGTGACCTCACAGCTGCATCCGCGTCAAAACAAGATGCATAACAGAGACAGTTATATAAACAACCGCCTCTGCCAGTAGTTGGGAAATCTTTCATACATCGTAGATAAGAATGTAAGGGCGATAGGGCCTCTCACACATTGGACTACGGTAAATGGAATATTAAATGCGAAAGATTCAAGTGACATTCATTAGTCAGCATGTGTTATCAGTAATTATCATATTCACATCTTTACAAATCATTATTAAATCCGTGGTTAATACATTAACATTACGCAGGTTGAACTAATTAACAATTAATTATATGCACTAGTTAGGACGTTGGATGTGAATTTTTATTTCTAAAAGTTTGTGTTTGCATTCACTTAAACGCAGTTTTTTTTTTTTTGTTTTGTTTTTTTTTTTTTATTCGTAACTTTGGAGCTAATACACTGTCCCACTTACAAAAAGAAAGCAAACTTCTAACTTCACGCTGAATTACTGTATACATAGCCTGGCCAAACAAACAGCGGGGTTTCGAAATGTTAGTGGTCACTGAGTCTATTCCAGGTCACTGAGTCTATTCCAGGTCACTAGCATCTGAGCTGATTTCGTCTACCAACTGCATAAACTCCAAAAATACATCGGCTCAGGTGTTCTAGAAATTCGGAATTTATCTTACAGAATACGCAACAGAGACGAAAATTTGTTATTTTGAACAAGCAGCTGTTGTGAGTACGATCTTCACTATTGCGTCCTTCCCTCTGACTTGTCTACGGCTTAGACTAATGATTAAGTACGCGACTCACTTAGATAACATTCCCGGAGTTGGGTGTGGAGCCTGCCGTAGTTCAATAGTTAACACGTTGCCTGGCAAATCTGTTTATAATTGAAAAATATTTATTTCGCACCGAGTGCTTCACTACTTTGGTCATGTGCCACCCAAGGCCACCCTTAAGAAATCAGAAAGCTTACTGAAGCGTGATGTTAATAGGCTAGTCTGGCATTCAACTATTTCTATCGTGTGTCAGATCAACCTAATCTTATTAATAAATATATATATATATATATATATATATATATATATATATATATATATATATATATCAATCTAATCTTATTAATAAAATATATATATATATATATATATATATATATATATATATATATATATTATATAATTAATAAGATTAGGTTGATCTGACACAAAGACTTGTCTGGGTATCCCTCTCTGCTCAAAATGGAGAGAGTTCGACCAGCACAGCGGGGACAAATCTCCAACTAATTGCCGAAGCATGGAAATTTGCCTTATCCCACCCCCACGTGACATGATGTGGCACAAGGCCGTTTTTAGTGCGTAGGCTCGGGCAAAAATTCCACGTAGACCCCATAAAAAACGAGAATCTGACATTCGGCATAGCCTCGTCTGGCTTCCTCTTTGCTCGAACACTGAGAATTCGACCAGCACAGCGGGGACAAATCTCCAACTAATTGCTGAAGCATGGAAATTTGCCTTATCCCACCCTCGTGGCAGGATGTGGCACAAGGCCGTTTTTAATGCGGGGTCAAAACCGAGGCCAATTGCTCGGGCAAAAACTCCCCTTAGACCTCGTAAAAAACGGGGTCATGTAGCAGTCTACCACCCCAGATTTAGCTATCTTGAGCGAGGTACGAAACCGGTTAGCTAGTCCGTTTTTCAGTTTTACTTTTTATTATCATGAGTGGTAATAATAAAACTAATTTTTATCTTTTCATGGCAGTGATAAAATTTTGTACCACCAAACATATCTTTAAATATATATATATATATATATATATATATATATTTGTAAAGACCTCAATGTAAATAAAAAACGATATGTAACAGATAAAAAAATTGATGTCAATTATTCTGCAGAGGGCTTTTGCATGTAAATATACTTCTTGAGTTTTTCTTGATACCAGTTGTTGATTTGCCCTGCGCCATTGGACCCTTTCTCTCCGAGTTCCTCGTTCGAATTTGCTATTTCATCGCCTCTCTCTTTCCCAAATTTGTCATCCAGATCTGACATGACGATTGTAATTTCCTGCGATTTTCACTAAACCTTGTTGTCGTCTCGCATACAGTAAAACTTTTAATTTCTTCTTTTTTTACTTTGTGCTGTTAATGAATGTTACATCTAGCAATTTCAACAGTGAATTTATCAGCGCAATCAATCTATTACTGCGCTCAAGTACCAAAGAGGAAAGCCCATCAAAACAATTAGCAAGAACATATTAATATAAAAATCACAGAGACCCTATGTTACGGTGGTGGGAAAGTGACTGAAGCCGAGATGCCAGGTCAGGACCGATA